GCCTCCAGTAAAGCACATTCACATGAAAATTACTCTGAATTAAAAACACTGATTATTTATTGAACAGGATGGAATCATTTTATATTTAAAGAACTTTCAGAAGTTTTTATTCTGGATATGAGCGACTTTTCTCTTAAAGTTTTAGGCTCCTCTGATGAACCGATCCCCAAAGGATCATTTCTGATCTTAAAGTTATGCCTCCATAACAATGTTAGAAGTTTGGGTTTTTCATGCATATCATTACTAAGTCAATAACTAACTGTTTCTAAAAGCAACTTCCTGTTTTGGTAGTAAAGGTCAGACAGGTCAGTTTACCTGATGGTCTCCATGCAGAGCAGCTGGAGGCACTGATGGGTTCTGGCTGCTCCTCTGTTTAATGGCCTCCATCTATGTTTTCCTCTCATATAACTTCATATTTTGCTGCTGTAGTCTTGATGGACTTGCATAGAAATGGAAGGAGGGAAACTGGGAGGCGAGCGTCACCAGAGGTCTATGCTGGTGGACAGGTTAACTCTGGTTGATAGAAAGAAACTAAACATGTTGTTCTGCAGCTGACAGGTTATTATCTGATCGATTCCTGCAGATCTTCCTCCTGCAGTAACTGTTTTAGTTTCTTTGGTTGCTCGTCCGTCTCTAATGTTGTGAGAGCTTCTGTTCATTTGGAGTCTGCATGTCTGTCTGAGAGGACGACACAGAGACTCTCTGAAGGGTAAACAGTTGGACATATTGAATCAGGCGTCTTTGTGCTGCTGCACAGTGAGGCTGTTGTCCGTGGAGAGCAGAATGGAGCGGCGGCCAGAGGACCGAGGCGTCTGATTTTAGGGCCTCTGCGGATATTTAGCTGATTGGTGTCAGAGAGGTTTATGTCCTCATGTCTGCGGTAAAGTCAACATGACTCAGCTTGCTGGTCTACCTGAGAGGCCTCATTTAGCCTCAGGATCCTGTCCTCGTTGTTTTTAAGGTGGACATGGAGGAAAAAATCATCTGATTGTTTTAAATGTGAATTAAATTAAAGTTTTCTGACTTGGCAGCCATAGATCTTTTTGCTGTAGAGCTGCCTGCATGCAGCTTCTTTCAAAGTCTCTCCTCTTTCTTTAATGTTGTGGAGTTTGTCCCTCATGCCTTTATCTGTCCTACGCTGTAACTTATATTCAAATATCTGTTAACTCTGTTCAGCGTTTCCTCCACCTCTGAAAAAGCCTTTCTATAAACGTAACTCTGACGAGTTATGGACAAAGAAGCAGACGTCTCTCTTTCATATTTGAATAATAGATCTATAGTTTAATGAAGATCTCAGGAAGTTTCTGTTACAGAATGGGAATAAACTGCTAAAGGAAAACCCAAAGGAAGCCATTGGTGGGTTTATCTGCGGTACCTGGGAGGTTCTGCTCCTCCAAACGTCGTCCCGTTTGCCTCCATGACTCCCGTTAGAAATTAGGAGAAACTCTGACATCAGCCTATTGTTCAGGTTTTACTTGGAGGATTCCCTTTAAACATCTGATAGGAAACTGATCTTCCAGCTTTGAATATTGACCAATACGATGACAGAACACATCCTTCCTACTTTTATGACTTTTTTTCAGTGTGGGATGTTAGAAAAGGCCTGATCATGTGATGTCAACAACTGACCCATTGATCATTGACCCCAGTCAGCCTTCTTCCTGTT